ATCCAGCAACAACTAATACTGATTTAATTGCTCTTAAACCCCAGTCATAATGATCTTGTTTTGACAAAAGTTCTTTACACAACGTATATAATGTGATAAATTTACGAGCAAGTATTTTTGCTTCCTGGAATCCCTCAGCAACTAACATGATCTCACAAATCAACTCGAAATCTGGAACTACCATTGCACAAGGCCTAAAAAAAATATAAAGAACACTTATATGAAGGTTTTACTCATTTTTCCATATTAAATGTAAAACAGCAAGTCTCAATTAGATATTATTTGACAGAATTGGAAAGATTATATCGTGGATGATATCTGTAGAAATAATATAGATAGGCCAAAATGGTTGATGAATTGCTGTGTAAGATTTAACTTAATTTAACCAAACCTTGTTTTTTTTTGTTTTGTTTTTTTATGTGTTTGTGTGTAATATAGTTACATAGATTTCTCAAACACAAACAAACTCTTGATATAAAAAAAAAAACAGAGATATTAAATATAAATACTTAAATATAAACAGTTAAAAATACTTTAAAAAACTGAGCAGAAACACTGATATCTGTTGAGTTTTCAAGCATCATTAGTGCTTGTGTGACACTTTAATATGTGTCCAAAAACTGACAGTATACTGGTTCAGAAATGGATATACAGAAACATGTTCAAGCCAAGCCAAATACCCCATTTACACACTTGTACCATTGTTTGGTAATAGATACGTTATATGTATTCCATGAACAAAGTTAAAGTTTTAGTAAAATAAATTCCATCTGGTCCAAATATTAATTAAATTTTAAGATCTGTAATATTGAGAAGCATTATATACATATACTTCTCACAATTTATAACTAAGATCTTCCCAAAAACCAAGCAAAAGATTATTTCAGATTATAAGGTATACATCTCATGAAACCATCTCACAATGCCATTGTAAGCAAATACATTTATAACACAAAGTAACTGCATATTTAACCTGAACAGAGCTTTCAAGTTTTCTGGTAATTCAGTTCTGCCAGCATAACCTGGATTCATAGTTATAAATATTCCAACAGTAGGAGTCATAGAAATTATTTCACCCATGAAATTGAAGGTGGATTTTTTTTCTCGAATCGCGTCCTAAAAAAAAAATTATAATTTAAAAATGGTGCTATAGTTTTTTAATCGATTCTAAATACGTTACTATAAGAATTTAATGATAATATAATCTGTCATAAAACAATATCTAATTATTTATTCAATGGTGAATTTTGACCCACATAGTATGTCTTCAGAGCTAGAAAAAAAAATGTTGAGATGATTAAACTATTTTAGGAGTGAAAAAGGTATTTAGAATTATGACCATATGGAAGATATATATGCTCTTTTTCATAAAAAGAGCCCCCTAAAGGACTAAAAATAACAGAAGGGTTTACCGAGGGCCGTCGCGTTATATCACTTCGGGCATTAACTCGCGGCTTTCCGGCCAACAAGCTATAATATATAGAGAAAGTTCCTAAATTCAACGCTGAACTTATTGATGCTTCTTGATGTGTCTCTCAAGTGAGAGAAACGTGGGAGTTCAAGAATTTACTCCTTATGACAAAGTTTTTTTTCACATCACGTTGCTCGTGATGGTGAGAAATACGGATAAAAAAAATCTTACGAGTTCGATTTTAATCTAGGCTTAACAGACTAAATTAAATAGTACCTTTCTAGTCCAAGAAGAGTCGAAATTTTGAAGTATTTAAAAAAAAAAATATTAGTGCGCGCATTACACAAGCATCTCTCCACAAGATCTCGTCTTTCTGACCTTTACACCTCTGGCAACAGATCTGCCTCGATTAAATATTCCTTTGTTGTCCGTTCCACTGCATTTTGGAATTCAATCCCATTAAAAGTCCGTGCCATCCACATTTAAAACTCTACTATTCCAATTCCCTTTCACAATTCAATCAGACGCTGGTATTTATTATGTAATAAGGCTTTAATTTTCTTTATATATTTTTTTTACTCTTATTTTTTCTTGTGTGTTGAACATGAATTTCCATCACCATTCACAAAAAATTGTGATTAGATATAACTTGTTTTTATAAATATGTGCTTGTTTTAGGTGAAAATTTTCTAATATTATAAAATTAGGCTGTGATTATTTTTTCACCATATTTACTTTAATTTACATAGCTACGTTTCGGCCGATAAGCCATCTTCAAGCTATTATATCCAACCATGCTTTTTGACTTTGACTACATGCAAAAAGCATGGTTGGATAAAATGGCTTGAAGATGGCTTACCGGCCGAAACGTAGCTATGAAAATTAAAATAAATATGGTGAAGAAATAAACACATCCTTATTTTATAATATGACTTGTTTTTCTTAATTTCTACTTTTCTTATTTATAAGATTGTATTGTGTCTTTAAAATATATTTTATTTTTTACTTATCTTCGACACACTCCTCTCTACTCTATGTGTGTATATTTACATATTTTATTTTTTATTTTTTTCTTCTTCTAATTTTTATGTGAATTCACTTAAACTTCTTAAGGGACAAATGTAAATAATTTATTTACAGTAGTTATTTATTTAAATTTTTATATTCCATCACTGCGATGCTTTGCCTATAATATTTATTTAGCGTTAATTTCTAATTTCATTTAGTAATTATTATGGTATTGTTTTAGCTCCAATATTGTAGTATTGTAACCTTATTTGTTTTAGTTAATATATCCTAAGAACTATGTATATACTTATTTTATTATTTGTATTTAAGTTATTCCCTATTGTAATAAGTTTTTTGGCCAGATTTATTGTTAATTTATATGAACAATATTTTTGTTCTTAAGGGACCTAGTCCCAGAATAAAGATAATTTTCTATTTCTATTTCTATATATTAAGTATGAATGTGTTTTTATTTATTTATTTTTTATTTAATCTCGTCTCATGTATATATAGTATGTTTGTGTTCCATACATCCTAAATACTCAATGCCCTAAACTCAATGCAAAATGTATTTTTTTCTCAATAAAATATTATTGAGTAAATTTCTATATAGTGTCTCTATTTTATGTTCACTTGGCCGTCATTTTGTATTCCAGCGGCTATGTGCTGGTAAACGTACATTTTTCTTCTCAGGCCTGTGAATATAGGTCAGTTAATAAGGTGACATAAAAAATTACATTTTTTGTCTTGAACTACTTACTTATTTCACGTATAAATATATAGGTAAGAGAAATTAAAAACTGGTATTCATACAACTTAACTATATTCATCGACCGAAGAAAGTTAGCTCCACCATCCGTAGTTTGCGATCCTAAACTAATTCTTCTTCGCTTCTCGAACCTTTTGCACTTGAAGGCAATGTGTCTTGGATTCTGTTAGTTAGAGACCTTAATATCTACCAAATCCGAAAAGTTACGAAAATTTGATGGGCAATTGCTCATTCTGAAATCAGACATTATTTTTATCAAAAGAGCCCCTGCAACATAATAATTGACCCTAATATCGATCAAATCCGATAATTTACAAAAACGTGATGAGCAATTTGAAATCCAACAGTATGAGAAAAGTTACAAATACATGATGGGCAATTGCGCATTCTGAAATCTGGCAGTATAGTGACAAAAAGAGTCCCCGACAATATAATAATTGACCTTAATATCGATCAAATCTGGCAAGTTATACAAACATGATAAACTCTCTTTCATAAAAAGAGTCCCCGACAACATAACAATGGACCCTAATATTGATCATATCTAAAGAGTTACAAAAACATGATGCACAATTGCCCATTCTGAAATCGGATAGTATTTTCATAAAAAGAGCTCCCGTCAACATATCCATGTCCACGAGTCCACTATCTCTAATATCCATTAAATCCAAAAAAAATAAGAAGAATCAAATTTTAAATCAATCTGTAATGAGCAATTTTTAATTCTTTTTTTTAACGAGCTCTATTGATCACTTAACGGACCCCTATTTTGAAAAAACAAATTATTATATATTTTTGTAATAAATGATTTATACTAGAATAAATGATTATTCAGTGATTTTTTTCATTGAATAAATTTGTATTCAGTGGATGTTATTTTAGAATAAATATTTATTCAGACATATGTTTATTAAATAATTTTTTTTATCCAATAAAAGTAATGAATAATTCAGAATAAATAAGAACAGCTGGTTATTCTAGGAATCATCAATCACTAAAAATTTAATGAACCTTTCTCTAGTCTTTAGAACACAGTTTTGCTCTAAAACAAAACAGCAGTTGGCAGTGTTTTGAAGTACGAAAGCTGAAAATGAGTTTCAATATTCATTTAAATTTATTAAATTTTTTTAAGGTATAATTTTTTTTTAAATTGAAGTATATATGATAAAATTTATCATAAAATAAAACGTTTTTAAAATTTTTCTATATCATACATTATCAGAAATTGGTTATTAATAAAAAAAGTTAATAAAAAACAAAAAATTCTGATGAAGAATAAAAAAACAATGACACTAAATGTACAAAAAAAATATCAGAATATATCAAAAAATAATATAAATGTTACATTACAATGTGAAAGTAATGTAAGACAATTAATAAATTATAAAATTTAAAATTAAAGTAATGTAAGACAATTAATAATGTATAAAATTAAAAGAAAATTTAAAATTAAAGTAATGTAATTGATAAATTATTAAATTAGAAGAAAACATAAAATTTAAAAAAAATATTTAATTGTTTATTGAAATATGAGCTAACATCATAATAAAGAAAAATGTATAAGTTAGCTATAAAAAAAAAATATTTTAATGTGAAAAGTGCAAAAAAAAGGGAGCAATTCAGTGAATAAATCCCGTACACACGGGGTTGGAACCTTCAGTACCCAGCACACACTGGATCTGACCTGACCTTGATTCAAGACCCGCAAACCAAAAGGTTAAATAAACTAAGAATACATAAAATAATGAGATAAAAATATGTTAAAAGTATATATGTCAACATATAGGAATAGTCTCAAAAAAAAAAAATCACCTGAAGTGATTTAACCTGAACTGCAACGACTGATAATACTTCTACTGTTATTCTATTAAATTCATCAAAGCAGCCCCAAGCTCCAGTCTGAGCCAATCCTTTATAGATATTACCACAAGACTGAAATCATAATTTAATCAATTATACTTATACAAATAAATTAATGGTTAAAAATAATTATTAATTAATTAATACTCAAATTGTTAGAGTAACATTTCACAGTACCATTTTCCTATTTATAACAATTTAATGTTATAGTGAATTACTAATATAGATCAAGATCAAATAAATTATTATTAAGTTAACAAAAGGAAAATTGGGAAAAATTATGCCTAGTAGAGTGCTCTTTTCCTTTTCTGAATGAAAGTTTCTATCCTCCACCATTATTTTATGTCTTTGGTTTTTCCTCCTTGGTAAATTTAGATAAATGGAGTGTTTAGATAATTAAGATAGGACTGAATTTACTTATATACCATCCACTTCTTTCCGACAGTCAAAAACCTCAGACTAATATTTGATCAGAACCTCTCCTGGAATAATTTCTCAGATTACACAAAAATCCATAACTATCCTTAAACAATTCCTGCGATTCCGTGATTCTATTCTTAAAAAAAACAGACAGCTCCTTGTAATATTGCTTGTTTTCCACCACTTTGGCTACAGTTTCTTTGTGTATGGAGGGGTATCCACAAAATTGGAGATGAGAATAATTGATAATGAATTGCTTCAGAAGATTCATCTTTGAGATTGCCAAGCCTTCCCATGTTTCCTCTACTTATATGCAGAGTTGAAGTGGCTCTGTCCTACTTCCCAACAGCAATTTCTTCTTGGTGTTTTCCTTTTCCAAGTCCTCAGAACCAAATATCCTCTCTACACCCTAGAACTCCTTACTCTACATTCTCTTCTGCTACCCACTCTTATAATAGCAGATCTAAACCTATAGATCTATATATCCCCTCCCATAAAACCACTTCCTTCAGCAAACAGTTAATTGATAAGAACCATTTAATTTTTATTTATTTTTTCTTAGTATTTTTTGTATACATTTTTATTTTTCTTAGTAGTATTTGAATATATTTATATTATATCTACATGCCAGACTGATGTATATATTTTTTGAGTTCTGCTATTATTATAAGAGGACTCTAGTCCCAGAATAAAATTATATTTCATTTCATTTCATTTTACTTAATCTAAAGAAACTTTTAAACAATCATAACATTTCATGCAGCTATAAATATATAAATATAAATATGAGCTATTCAACTCTTACTATCAGAATAATACTGTGCTCTACAGTACAAAAAGAGAATTACTAATACTAGCCCAGTCAAATTAGACATGTTACCTTGCAAAAGGTCGGGTAATTACTGCTATTTTTTTATACTGTTAGGTATGTGGTGAATATAAAAAATTCAAGTTTTCGCCTTCGAAAGTCCTCTGGGTTCTCTGCAGTTCTCTGCAGTGCTCTGAAATTAAAATTTCAAACATTTTTTGGTTTACACTAAATATCTCCTTTTTAGGGCGACATACATAAAAAATGGTCATATTCACTCTTAAACAACTTTAAATTATCTAATTTTTTTTTCTAAATCAAACAGGAAGAGAACTATCGAGCTTTCATAATTTACCCATTTTGATTTCTTCACAATATTGTTCTTTTAATTTTGAATGGAAGAATTCCTTAATTCCATTTTATACCTCATTCAGAGAATTAGGAAGTTTTTCTTGAAGATAATGAGCCATAGACTGGAACTGTAGACGGTAGTGGGAAGGCGTTTTGAAAATTTTGTTGCACGGTGGGCCAGACCCTCCTACTGTGCACTCTCCACTCACATCTCAATACATTTTATATAGTTGTGTTCATTATTACTATCTTTTTTTTAAAAAAAGCCTGTTCCCATAAAAAACCGTGGTCCCACTGCCCCAAAAAGGTGTCCAAACATGGCTCTTTGACGTCTCTGACTTGAGTTAGTTTGTTGGTCACTGTGATTCAGCATTTAGCTTAATTTTGTGATAATGGGCCTTTTATTAAAGCTGGATAGTTAGAGAATAATAAAACATGAAAAGGTATTAAAAAATAATTGTCCTTGGCAATAAAAAATCCCAGTAAAGTTAATTTTTTCAGGATTTCCAAAAAAAAGTTAAAACTCAAGCATTGTTTGTAAATAAAAGACTAACAATTACGAAAAAAGTACCAAAATAAATCGTTTGGAGAATACATTTTCTTTCTAAAACACTAATTAATTTTTTTAATATTTTAAGCAGTTACTTAGAAAATACATTTAATCAGCAGAAATGCGGCACTGGTATTGTCGCCTTGATTTCTCTGAGACACCATTCAGTACTCACACATAAATGACACAGTTATAGTGTTATAATGTATTAGTACACTATTTTGATTGCATTAACGAACAAATATTAATACAATAATTTAATTGTTCAAAACTTTTTTTTTTCATTTTACTTAATATATTCTTATATTCTAGTACATTTAAGACAGATTCTATTGTAAGAATTATGTATTTATAACTTAATTCAATAATATTTAACCATTAATTTTTTTTTTTTTGTATATTTATTGCTTAGTTAAATTTTATGTAATTTGCGGAAATGAATCTCATCATTGTCTGTTTTATAAACTAAAATATATACATGATCTGAATGGCATATAATGAATAATTAATTACCTGACTGTTTAACAAAAATCATATATCAATAATCTGGGTTGTTAATAAGAATATAGAAGTAAAAATAATACAAAAATATTTTGGGAAATTCAATTATTGTATTAATATTTGTTCATTAATACAATCAAAATAATACCCTAAAAACGTTATTATAGCACCATAACTAAGCCATTTATGAGTATTTTTTTATATTGTTAGATGTATGGTGAATATAAAACTCTAAGTTTCCGCCTTTCAAAGACTTGTGGTATTTTTATAAAGATATTTTGCTACGAAGCTTATGAAAAAAAGATATTCAGCCAAAAATAAAAATATATATGCATGCTTTTTACGAGTTTTTGAAAATGTCCCCATTTTGAAAGCTTGGTAGCTCGTTTCCTGTCAGGTTTAAAAAAAAATGTTTCTGATATAAATGTTAGCAAATTTCAAGCAGTTTAAACGCTTTAAAAATGAGATATATATTGAAAACAAAAAAAAGGTCCAAATTTCAGTGGTTTTTGGAGCACTGTGGCGAATCCACAAGCCTTTCAAAGGTGAAAATTAGGATTTTTTATATTCGCCATACATCTAACAATATAAAAAAAAATTTAATTAACCAACCTTTTGCAGAGCAGACCCCTTTATTTGTGGTAATTTGACTGGGCTACACATTGAAAAAAACAAAACAAGTAATGTTATTAAGATAAAATGTATTTCTACCTTGTAATCCATTTGTTCTGAACAGTTAAATACGTAAACCATTATACCAAGAGCTCTTCCCAAATCTTTTGTAGTCTCTGTTTTACCAGTTCCGGCAGGTCCAGCTGGACCACCACCCATAACCAAATGTAAAGACTAAAACAAAATATTACTTTGTCATATTATCATTTTAGAAAGTCTCCTAGTGAACTTTGTTTCATCTCAAAGCGATTATACCTGGGTTAGAGTAATGTAACATCTATCTGTCAATGGTGTGATGACCAGTCTGGGTGTGTTACCCAAGTATTCATGAGAGTAGCAGAACTGGGCATCACAAATGTTAGCAAAGCAATCACCTATTTTTTCATCCCATCTGAGAAAAATGTAACATTAACATTATAATTTGAATGGGTGAGAAATATAAGAATACAAGTGATCTATTTTTTTCTGCAAAAATACACTTAAGTACATTTATGGATAGTTAATCATTTATAGTATAGCTACCACCAGTTTCTAATGAAATACAAGAGTGATCTACTTGAGCTTTTTTCATATAAAATTGTTTTTTATGTCTGAGAAAGAAATTAGATAGGGGCAGTGCGGATAGATGAAGCAGCAAGGGGCTTATCCAGAGTAAGTAGCAAATCGTACTACCAGTGATCATTTAGGTCCAAGTACTATAAATAGTTTTTTCTGGAATTTATAATTGTTTTATTTCACAAAATTTTATTTTTTCTGCAAAGGAATTATGTTATTCGTACTTTAAAAGATTTACATTTAAAAAAACCCTTAATTACAATATTTTTCGCCACTAATATAATATTAGTAAAATTATCAAAGATTACAGACCTATTACTGCCACTATTTCAAAACCAAATTTCTTCAGTTTATTCTGTCAATGTTTTATAATTGAGTTTCAATGTAGAATATTTTAATAAAATAGAAATGATTTTCTTATTTAGTGTTTTAACCATTCAACAAAGTTTAATTTATAAGTTTTTATCTGAATAGTAAACAATAATTTTATTAATTACTTGTCATGTATATCTACCTATATTATTTATTCTAAACTTATTTCAATTAACAGAGTGTGGCAGCTCAGTGGTAGGGCACTAAGCTTCCAATGCTAAAGATCCCAGGATCGAATCCCGGCTCATGGCAGAAAAATTATTTATTCTGTTTCATTGACCGTGGGGCGACCCTGAGGTAGGTAGACCCTCCTGGGGCACACTCAGCCTCTACAAAGTGGGTACCATAAATTAAATAATTGATTAAGGGGAAAAACCTGGTGGTTGAGCGTGATCCTGGCCTTATCCCCTCTCTGCACAACCGCTTACTAAAAAAACAGTACTTTCCCTGATTAGTATTGTACCCAAGATCCTTCATGGGTTTTAGTGGTACAGCTTTTATTTCAATTTAGTTATTCCTATTATATCAGTAAATAATAATTTAGTAATTATTTATTTTAAACGTTAATTATTATTTTTATTATATAGTTGCTTCAATTAAAGTGTAAGTTCTTGCAGACGATAGACTTTTAATAATACTTTTACTATTATTCTGATGATATCAAATAACTATCTGAACAAAAATGTTCCCAAACAGGCTCTGTAAAATATAGCTGATTATATAAAAAAGTTACACAACATCAGGAATGTAAATATCAATATTTTTGAAATAGTAATTCAAATATCAAAAAAATATATCAATTCAAAAGTTATAACATTAAACTGTGTTTTCAAAAAAATATTAAATTGTCAGCTGCACCCTTAGGCTTCTGAATCCCTTAGATGGATTCAGCCAAATAGTATAACATTCAAATAAATATTAAATTTACCCATGAAATACCAGATCTGAAATGTAACCTGATTGGATTATTAAGTTATCATGCATAAAAGTAAACTTTAGATCAGAAGCTCAACTGTAATATATTATAGAAGGAAGTTAGCCAACTGTTCTACATATCATGGGTGATAAATATTCAGAACACTTTTAAATAAAGTTTTTATTAGTGCCGACGTTTCAACCTAAACATGTGGATCATCATCAGTGCTCGATGATGACCCGCATGTACGGGTTGAAATGTCGGCACTAATAAAAACTTCATAATGACTGCGTCCTGAATATTTATCACCAGTAACATATTATACAATACCTATGCCTTAGTTGTGACTGCCATTGAAAAGCTGCAAGTGAATCGATTTTCGATTGAATTAATTTTGCAACAACATCTCGAGAATGAACATCTATTGTACATATAGTCATTATTTTTTGTCTGTCTAGTTTTGTTAATTCGCCAAGTAAAAGGGAAATCAGTGTACTCAATTGGGATATCTAGAAAAAAAAAAGTTAATAAAACATCTATGAAAATATGCAGAAGAATAAGTAAAGTGTTCAAAGGTTACCTGTTTTTTGTGATAATCTCTCATGGCATTGTCGTACCCTTCTTCCAACCTTGCAAAAGCACTATTTACCTCAGTCGTCCACCAAATCTGTGTAGCACACAAGGAGACTTGTGCAGGGTAATCAAATAACCATTGATCCCTTGGTTTCTCCTCATAAGCCAGCATCGCTTCAGAAAAGTAATATTTAATAGATTCTCTCATGGAGGATTGAATTCTATTTAGCCATCCTTCTACCTTCAAGAAATAATGTTCATACTTAAAGCAAACAAGCAAAATTAGTAATTATTTATATTACATAGATAGGTAATACTATAATTACCGGACCAGTGCAGTCAGAACAACTTTTAAACTGTACATATTCTCCATCTTTTGCAATCATTCCAAGAGCACCATCTGGATCATTAGAGTTTTCAGGAGTGAATTTTAGAGAAGCGATAGAATCAAATAACTTCACCAAATGCCTAATTAGGACATAGAGATTTTTAATAATGTGTGATAATCATTGTATGCATGTGAATCTCTTTAGGTACATATTCTTGGCATGTTGAAGCAAATTTTTTACTAAAAAAGATTTTAAAGAAGTGCTATGTAAAAAAAACAATCTTACAATTTAAAAAAAAATAAACATATTACATTTTTCTGCAATAAAATAGTCTGTATAAGCTAGATCTGCTGTTCATTGAATTAATATTACAGGTCTTAAATGCTCAATTTTCAAAATTTATTCCTCATTTATGCCAGAAATGTTAAGGATATATTAATATTTACCTAATAATATACAATATGTACTAATGTACTTATTACTAATTTCTTCATAGAGTTTTGTGATAAATGTTTCTGATAAAGCACAGAATTTATCCAAAAGATCTATTATTCCTTATCATCATTAATGTCATTCATTAGATATGATATACATTCTTAATGAAAATGGAGAATGATGTAAACGTATAGATTTAAGAAATTCAATTGGTGGGAGGAAATGCTAATTAATTGTTTTAAAGGAAAATGTTATACTGCCTACTATTTTTACTTTCAGTCGTAGGGTGGTAAGTGACAGTGACAGTTATGTTAACTGTGCACCACACTAATTTTTTTTTTTTTTTTTTTTTTAAATTGAATCTCTGAGTTTTTACCAATTTTATAGCGGAATATCTCTGATTATTCACGTGATACAGTTAAAGTGTATATCAGAGCAGTTGATATTTACTGTTGGCATCTTTTTTTTTGTTATTTTAAGAAAAAAAAAAAAAAAAAATTTTTTTTATTTTTTTTTTTTATTTATTTATTTTTTTTTCTCTTATGATATGCGGTATGATCAGCAAGTGATGGCCAGTAAGGTGCCCAAGAGGTCTCGGTCAGACGGAGTTAGCTCACCAGCCAAGCAAAGGACTCGTCGCTGCCTACGAGAAATACCTCCAGTGACCAAAATGAACACTTCAGAACCAGAACCTCAGCCCCAACCAGGTACGTCTGCACAAGAAACGATTGAAGAATCACCTTTCTTTACTCCAAACCCCTACCAAGTGCTTCAAAATGACAGAGAAGTAATGGAGTCTGCAGCAATACCCAGAGAACCAAAGCCTCCTCCGATATTTGTGAAAAATATAAAAAATTTCCAGATGTTCTGCACCCAACTAAATAAAATCTGCTCTGGCAGTTATTCATGCCTTAACAGGACCAATGACACCAAAATAACACCTGATTCTGCAGAAGCCTACTGAAAAATAGTGAAGTACTTATCAGAAACAAATGCGAATTTTCACACTAACCAGCTGAGGCAGGAAAGAGCTTTACGAGTAGTGATAAGAAATTTACACTCCTCAACCCCCACTGAAGTTATTAAAGAAGAACTAACGATGCTTGGTTTCAATGTACGCCAGGTAACAAACGTTTTGAAGGAGGACAGGGAGCAGCCAGGATTACGAAATAGGATCCCACTACCATTGTTTTTCGTGGACTTGGAGCCATCACCAGGTATCAAAAAAATATATGATATCACAAGAATATACTACACAATGGTGAAAGTTGAGAAGCCATATCCCAAGAGAGACATCGTGCAGTGCCATAATTGTCAGACCTATGGCCACACGAAGACATATTGCCACCATCTGCCGCGTTGCGTGAAGTGCGGTGAACAGCACAAATCTGTAGAGTGCACCAAACCTATACAAGATCCAGCAGTATGTGCCCTATGCTTGGAGGGACACCCGACCAACTACAAAGGCTGCCAAATTTACAAGAATCTCAAAACCAGACACCAGAAAAACCGGATTCAAGATGAAGCACTAAGAACAAGAAGAGAGAGAGAGCCTTCCAGAATTGTAAACAATGATGTATCATTCTCCCAACTACTTAGAGGTAAGACTTTAACCGATAAATGTCAAGCCCTGCCACAACAACCCAACCACTCAAAATCCTCTTCATCCTAATATACCTAACCATCAACAACAAATTCCTCATATTCCTCCTCCTTCAAATGCAACAGATCTCACAAGTTTGTTAGCATCTTTCCTCACCGATTTCAAATCCCTTGTTACTCCACTCATATCACTCCTCACGAATCTCGTATCTCACCTCATCCCTCCTTTGAAAAATCCTTTAATGACTCACATCCCTAAACCCATATCCATTCTCCTTTGGAATGCGAATGGTGTTAGAAATCATACAGACGAACTATCTACTTTACTACTTGACAACAACATTGATGTGGCACTAATTACTGAAACTCGACTAACCACTAAACAGCACTTCAATTTACCACAATACCTGACATATCGTACTGACCACCCTGATGGAAAAGCACATGCCGGTACTGCTGTAATTGTACACCAATCCCTCTCCCATCACGTACTCCCATTACCAATACATGATTTCCTACAGTCCACCGCTATCGTGATAAAAACCTTCTCCTTTCCGGTTACTCTTGCATCAGCGTATTGCCCTCCTAACCGATCCATATCCAATGCCCAATTCAGTTCTCTCCTCGACTCCTTAGGACATCACTTCATCTTGGGTGCAGACCTAAATGCCAAGCTCCAACAATGGGGTTCCAGAACAACGAATTCTCGTGGCCGAACCCTGCTGTCTGCACTCAATTCCCAACGTTTTCACCTCCTTTCCCCCAACTCTCCTACCTACTGGCCCACAGATCCCAACCGTAATCCTGATCTTCTTGATTTCTTTATCCACAGCGGCTTAAGTCCCCTCAATTGTTCCATTACACGACTAAATGAACTTTCCTCTGACCATAGTCCTCTAATCCTTAATGTTTCACTTGAACCTGTTCCCGAACCTTCTCCACCGTCATTCATTAGGGGCCCAGTAAACTGGGACCTTTTCCGCCAAATAATCTCCGATAATATTGATCTCAACATATCCCTCAAAACTCCCGATGACCTTGATAGTGCCGTAAATTCCTTTACTACCACAATCCAACGAGCCGCCTGGACTGCCTCCTTCCCAAAAGACTCCTCCAGAATTCCTATAAAGACCATTCTACCCCAACACCTCCTTAACCTAATCCGCACCAAACGCCGTGCCAGATTATTATGGCAACGTACCTGACATCCTACCGACCGCTGCTCCTATAATTACTACTGCAAACAATTAAAACTGGAATTAGCCACCTTCAGATCACAACCCTTCAACTCCTACTTATCCTCCCTCTCTTCTCGCGACAATTCCCTTTGGAAAACCACAACAAAAATCCTAAATCCTCACCGCATTTCCCATCCTCTCCAACGAGCTGATGGCTCCTGGGCAGCATCTGACGAAGATAAAGCTGAGGAGTTCGCCATTCACCTATCCAATACATTTATTTCACATCCGGAATCCCATCCTGCCCACACCGTAACAGTAGAAGAACTCCTTACATCACCAATCCCACTTTCCTTGCCCCCAAAAGCTATTCATCCTTCCGAAGTAAAATTTCAATTAAAAAAACTAATCCCCCGTAAAGCTCCTGGACATGATCTCCTTACACCTCAAATCCTTCGACAACTTCCATCCAAAGCAGTCATATTCCTTACATATATCTACAATTGTATCCTACGCACCACCCACTTCTCTCTGTTATGGAAACACTCCACTATTATCCTTTTCCCAAAACCAGGAAAACCTCTCAATAGCTCAACATCCTATAGACCAATCAGCCTACTCCCAATCCTTTCAAAAATTTTTGAAAAGATCCTTTTGAAACGAATCCTACCCATTATAGAATCCCAAAATATCCCTTCCCATCAGTTTGGTTTTCGCTCTCAACATTCTACTGTTCAACAAGGACTCCGAGTTGTTGATCATATTTCCTCAGCCCTAGAAAACAAGGAATACTGTTCGGGTGCCTTTCTGGACATTGCACAGGCATTTGACCGGGTATGGAACTCCGGACTGCTCTCCAAGCTTAAAATCCATTTACCTCAGTCCTTGCACCTGGTCCTCCGATCCTACCTCTCTGACCGCTCCTTTCGAGTTCGCTGTGGAACAGAATTTTCCAATATCTACTCCGTTAAAGCCGGTGTTCCCCAAGGCAGCGTCTTGGGTCCCGTGCTTTACATCCTCTTTACTGCTGACATCCCTGTTCATCCCGATACTTTTCTTGCAACATTCGCTGACGACACCGCAATCTTATCATCCAACTCTGATCCCGAAATAGCATCCTTAAATCTCCAAAGTCACCTCACCTTGATTGAGCACTGGTGTAATAACTGGCGCATTAAAGTTAATGAATCTAAATGCCAACATATTACCTTTACACTCCGACGCAATTCCTGTCCACCAGTACTCTTTAATTCCATCCAGCTTCCTTATTCTGACACAGTCCGGTATCTTGGCTATCATTTAGACCGAAGACTAACTTGGAACCCGCATACTAGACTCAAAAGACAAGAACTCAACCGACGATACGGCCAACTATACCGACTACTAAGCAGAAAATCTAAACTTTCCATTGAAAACAAGCTACTGATCTACAAGACAATACTGAAACCTATTTGGACTTACGGACTAGAACTGTGGGGATCAGCAAAATTTTCTAACATCAAGCGCATCCAATCCTTCCAGTCTAAAGTCCTTCGAACAATAGTCGATGCTCCTTTCTATGTATCCAACAAAACCCTACATCATGACCTTAACATCCCATTTGTCCTACACCTTATCC